TCAAAGATCAAATCTTAGTGGACAACTTTTATGGAAGACAATTTTATTCAAAGAATAAATAAATATATGAAAAAAAAAATAGCACTTTTTCTTTTTTAATCTGTTTCATAGGCGGATCGACATGTGGACTGATATATTGTGGTCATTTTCTTAGAACTAAGAAATGTGGTCATTTTACTTATAAAATCGAGAAAAAAAGTGAGGTATACCAACTTTACAGCTTTTAATTGAGAAAAATATTTGTGATAAAACTCTAAACTAAAACTTTTATTCAATTCGTTTTAACGAAAGACAAAATTAATGTCCAAAATAATGCTTTTCTTTTACTTGCGTGTGTGAGCGTTGGTCAAAAAACGAGCTGACAAAACAGTAAAAAATACAACAGACGGGGACGAAAGACACAAGAAGGCAGACGACAATAAGACACAGCAATACAAATATTGACCCATCTGTGAACCTTAAACTGTTGAACAGGGCAAATAGGTATTGTTTTGTTTTTTTCCACTTACCGATCAGCACCGGAATCTTCTTTCCCCATGACAGCAGATCTTTCTTAAAGCTGCGCCTTTCTTGAGCACACCGTAAGCCTCCGCAATCTACCATGTTGACACGCGCACTGACGTCATCATTTTCTGCTGCCCACACTCTGATGACGTAACGCGCAACAACGTATAACGACAACAGCAGAAAAAAGTGAACGAAGGATGAGGAGAAAATGGGCGGAGACAAGAGTCTAGTCAGACTAAAAACTAGAAAGAAAAAAACACGCCTACTTTTGCTGCACAATATTTCACTGGGGTTAAGTGACAACAAGTTCACACAGTCTGTTTCCTCGTTAATTTCCTGTAAGAAGAGCTTTTTTTCAAAGTTGGGATCTTAATGGTGACTGATTGGCGATTACAATAGATTGGAAACGTCCAATATCTATCTATCTATCTATCTATCTATCTATCTATTTGAACCAATAGCATTGGTTTTCTGTGAGAATCAACGATAGCAAGTTTTTTTGCTCTTGTACTATCCATTGCATTCTTGTTAATTTCAATATAATCTATTGTCTGACATTTTCGGGTAACGTAACGGATATCGGCACAAGAAAGGAAATCGATTAACGAGGATCAAGTTCCGGTCTGATCTTTTGCCTTCACTTCGAACTAATGACCTTTGGAGAGGCATGAATCCATCTCTAACCCGCCTTCCTCCAGGTAACAAGCTAAAATGGCAGCATAGACTGGGGTCCTAGCTTTGGGTAACAGCCAGTCTAGTAAGAAAACTCTGAATTCAAAACCCTGGAAAAAGCAATGGGACACTATATTTCCCAAGAAGTCATGGAAATTCAGAAAGAATAAAGAAAAAGTAATCTGTCTGTGGAGAGTCGTGATCGTCTACGTCCTGAAAAGACATAGCTTTTAATAAAATCTTCTGGTGAAATTTCAATTTTCAATTTTCACTTTTCAGTTTGTTTGTTTTTGTTTTTTTTTTGCAAGGGTCTTTTAAATAACTTACTAAGTGGTCCAATAATTATAGGGCCTATTATTATACTTTTTACATGAGTTGAATTTTCATACCAGTAGTAAAAGGTGACATACATTGGAGACTAAGTGATAGCAAATCTATTCAATACTTTAGTACACGTCTGCATTCTTTGATATCCATCAATTCAGCCCGACTGATCAATTGCGACCACATGATTCTTCAGGTGTAGTTTTCAACTGGTCTTTCAAACTCACGTGCTTCTCCAGAGACAGTCACACGACAGCTTCAATCATCGGGGCTACCTGAAGGCAGAAGCAGACTTTCATTCTTTTTACTCAGATAGTTTGTCCGACAGCCGAAGACTACGGAATATGGTGTCAGTCGCCTCGGTCCGTATACGAGGCCCTCAGGTTTTGAATTCAAAGTTGTCCTTCTCTTAGGTTGTCACCCAGCCTGTTCTGCTATTCACCCATGGGGAGGGAGGAGAGAGGAGAAGCGATGGTTTCATACCTTTGCCAAGGATATTAGCGCATAAGTGAATGTAATGAACTTGACTAGAATTCGAACTCGGCTCTCCGATTCCTCAATCCATTACGTGCCTTTGTGGGTTTATCCCACTTGACTTTGCAAAAAAAAAAAAAAACGTCGCTAGGGAATGCTCCTTAAGTCTATATAAAGGTGTACATTTCTCTCCCTAGTCTCTTTTACAGCTTTTCAACTTTGGCTTTAAGATCTAGTTTATGTACATTTGGAACGCGGCTGCTAGGCACGCGTGCATTTTTCTTTCTTCTTTTTATTGTAAGAATATATTCATGTAATTCCTTTTGTCAATACATACAATTAGTTGTCACTTGTTTCATATTGTTTTGTGTTATCATTTTTACTTGGACTCACATTGAGTCCGCAGTAATTAATTACGGGATAAATATTCTAGGAGACATGTTTCTATCTAATAGTATCCCGCAACACCTTCACACCTCCCATTTCAGTTTCCCCAAATTTCTTTCACACACGAATTTACCGTGTCTTCATCGTGATACCAGCAATGACATAATTTTGATAATTCCCAAATTTTGATCCTGTTAACCTATTCAAAATACCTATTGCTTCAAATCACGGTTATCGTTCTCGGGCCCCCACAGCTGTGAGTCAATACACCCCTCTAGCCCGTGGGAATGATATTTTCCTTTTAACCCTTTCAAGTCATACAGGGCAGTCTTATCTAAAATCTGCAATATTCTCATATTGTTACACACTCTTAAGTATTCGAACTGTTTTCAGTAGTATTGATGTCTCGATAATGTTGATTCTCCATTCAAATTCCAAAATTCTTTAATCTTTTCGATAGGCTCTTCAAGGTTGCTCACCGGTGCTCCAGCTACCATTAGTATTAGTCAAGTTTATATTTAAGTTATCTAGCGAAATCTAGATACTCATCGTTATTTTTTTCTCTTTTCACGACGACTAAATTCGGTTTTCTGACTTGAATTGCGTGATTCATTTGAGTCCCAAAGAATTTTGTGTTTCTGATTCTTGTTTGGATATATATTGGGTTGGCCAAAAAGTTCGTTCGTTTATTAAGTAGAAAATTTACTTAAAACGAACAAATATTTTAACCAACCCAATATAATTAATTTGTATGTCGCTTGCACAGTTCATCGGGGATTGTTGTTCCTAATTAAGTCGTACCTATTTTTGTCTGAAACGCGTTTGCTAGGTTTCAAATTCACTCTTGACCTCAAGAGGAACTCCTATATACAATCCATTGATAAAGGTACTGGATAAACGGTTGGTTCATTCTATCACACCCGGGCTGACAGACATCTTCTGTCATGTTTATTTTTTTACAAGTCAGATTAGACTAAAATAGAGTATTGAGGTCATATCTGGGCTGGAGCTGTTCAATCCCCACTTTCAAGTCTTGAAAGAGTTTATACAGTTTTGTAAGTAATGATCAATTTCCCACTCTGCAACCGCTTTCTCACAAATGAAACCTCGCAGGCCTATCGCTATTTCGATGGAAAATGTTCTGACAAATCCATTCTTTAGCTCCACCAGTTCTAATATTTACAGTTAAGACACACCGTGCCACTCCCATGGAGTCGAACCATCATCTTTTCTCACGTGCTCCAAATGTTAGAAGAAAGTTCCACTCGGATATTTTTTCCCTAAGAACCAACACTGAAAAATAAACTACCGCGTGCACGTTTCAGTGAAAATATCACCCTTGACCTCTTCGAGTCAAGTGTCAATTGTCGTTTTTCATTCTTATCCTCTTATCTTATTAAACCATTTTTACTGTAATGCTCTGCCTTGAGTTGCTCTAGAGCGTTGTATTGGGTGAAATTGTTATTTTTTTTTCTAATCTTGGTGGGGTAACCAGTCTAAAAAATGAGAATTCCAGACCATGGAGAATGTAATGGGAAATAACTCCGTTATCTTTCTCAAGAATTCATGGCAATTTACAAATAACAGAGAAACAGAATCTGTGGAGAACCATGAACTCCTACATTTTGAAAGGACAGGACATATTTATATGACTAATAGGATTAAATAGCAGTGTAAACTGGGTGTGTAGCCTTGGATGACAGCCAGTCTAGGATAACTGAACTCAAAACTATGGAGAAGGCAACAGGAAACCACTCCACTAACTTTCCCAGGGATATGATTTTCAGTTAACTTTGATCTTCAAAAATTGAAATGTATTGTCAATTGTTATCTTTTATTCCAGTTCTTTTAGTCTCTCTCCTTAATAATGTTTTCTTTTTCTTATATTATTTCACACTCAGTAATCTCTTACGTCTTAGCAGCTTTATTGCCTTGCTTGAGGTGAAATGATTTTTTTAAAAGTCATGAAAGAAAATGAATTTGTGGAGAGCCATGACCGGCTAGGTCCTGAAGTGATATGACTTCTTTTTTTTCTGACACAAAAAGTAAACAAAAAAATGACAGAAAGCATACAAAAAGGTGTTTCTGTGTATTTTACGACTTGTTTTTGTTTTTAATTTTACATTTTGTTTGATTGATTTGATTTTTACGGTTTATCAACCTTTTGCAGGTTATTTAAGGCCAGAAAATATTTCTAGAGTGTAAGAATTTTTTAAAGATAATAATAATATACTGATACAAGTCCTACTAATTAACCTATATCTGGAGAGAGAAGAAGGGGATTTATACCTTTCTCAAGGTGTTGTGTCGGAAACCTACCACCCCTCTTGAAGATGAACTTGTCTGCATCTGGAAACAAAGACTTTAAATAGTGGCATGTCAGTTGACATGGGGGAAGTCGGATGGACAGAGAAGTTCTTAGCTGAGCTAGTTATTGACTACTCAGGCGATTTCTGTACCTTTTTACCAACCTATTAAAACCCGTTTTATTGTTACGTGTTATTTGGCGTTTGTCTCTACTAACCCCAAATCAACATCATAACACAAGGGTATTCGCACGTAAGTGAATCCAACAAGAATTGGAACTCGGCTCTTCGATTTCCAGTTCCGAAACATTGCCCACTGCACCACCCGCACATTACATTCCCAAGCAGTCGCCCATCTAAGTACTGACCAGGCTCGACGTGGCTTAACTTCGGTGATCGTACGAGAACCGGTGTTTGAACCTGATATGGCCGTAAGCCAATTTTAAATTTAGATAGATTTTAATGAATAATTTACTAGTGGTTACAAAATGTTATAAGGAAATATTTCATAGCGGCAACAACCAGTCAATTAGTCGTAAGTCTGACATGATGAGATTTTTAATTGGCACTTAAAAATTATTAAAAAGAAAATCTTTTTTATTTTTTTCTAATAAAATTCTATCCAGAATAGGATTTTGTTGAAAACAAAACATTTTCCTATGGTTTGGTTATTTCAAAGGTTACTGGGTTTAATAAGTTCGCATCTGCCAAAATTGAAGACACCTGTTGTTTATTTTTTGCTTTTGTAGTCGGTCTCCATATTGAAAGATCACTACGAGTTCCAAGACTGTCAAAATTCACAGCACCTGCATAAGTTGCATTTAACCTACTTACAGCATTCTGGCTGCCTTCAGACTTAAAGGTCAAATGCTAGGTGCAATCAAATAGGGAATTTTTGTTCATCCACTTCAGATCTAAATGACGATTGGTCGGCCAATAAGAATGTAATAAATAAAAGCAGTACCGAATCAGGGATTTAGAAGGGGTTTCCTCCCACTTCCGTAAATTATAACCCGAACTATGATTGGTTAACCATTGAGAATATGACACGAAATGGTCTGTAATTGGATCATCAATCAGAAGCCGTTTTGGTCTGAAAATTTCGTCCATAAAGGCTGAAGCACTGAGTTCTACAAGTAGACCGGAAACGAAAAGTCAAGCAGCATATCTTCCTTTTTGACACCAGGTTCTCCCCAGCCAGTCGAAGACACTGTGAAGACCCGGCTTATTGAAGAAAATCCCTAACTCTGAACCAACAACTCAAATTGCGATAGTCACATGTTGATTGGCATAAAGTCTGTAATGCCGACAAAACTTCTCACCGTGTCTTTTTCTTCTCTCTCAATTGGCGACATTAACGCCTCTTGAAAAGAACTGTCTTCTTTCAATAACCAACTGGGGTAGAAACTTACATTTTCTATTCTTTATGTATTGTTTTACAATCGTGCTACAATAAATATTTTATTATTTGTTAACGGAGAGTTGCTTGATTCTTTAAGTCGCTAACCATTCTAGCAAATCGTACCGACTATCCTGACTGTTAGAAGTTCCGGGAGAATTTTGTCATCTCCCTTCTTTGGATCTTTCAAACGCAGCGTGGGCGCAGAAGTTGACAGAACTAGTTGAAAATGCATGTGGCAGACCACACCTAGTGCCGTGACTAGCATAGGACCACGATTATTTCACACTCAGTAACCCCTTCCGTCTTAGCTTTATTGCTAAGCTTGAGGTGAAATGATGAAAAAAATGTCAATAAAGAAAATGGACTTGTGGAGCCATGACTGGCTAGGACCTGAAGTGACATGACACAAAAAGTAAACAAATCATGACAGAAAGCAAACAAAGAAAGCTGTTTCTGGATACTTTACAACTTGCTTTTGTTTTTAATTTTGATTGATTGATCCTTTTTTTACGGCTTATCAGCCTTTTGCAGGTTATTTCAGTCTAGAAAATATTTCTAGATTGTAAGAATTTTTTTAAAGATAATAATGATTTACTAGTCCTACTAATTAACCTTTAGCTAGGGGGAGAAGAGGTGAATTCCTACCTTTCCCAAGCGTATTCATGCGTAAGTGGATACAACAAACCCGACAGAAATTGGAACTCGGCTCTTCGATTTCCAATTCCGAACCATTGTCCACTACACCACCCGTACATTTAGTCGTCCATCTAGGAGAAACAAACGAGTGACCTACTTAACCAGTTTGTATGAATGGGTGACAGAGCAGGGACAAAGAAGCGCGATAAAGAAGCAAAATTTTCCTTTTACTAAAATTTGCCCAAGAACCACTCAAGGTAGAAGTTTACGTGATGAAGAGTGTGATATGAGCGTAAGAGGAGAAAGTAAGAAGTCAATATTATGAGAATATAGAAAACAGATAACGATTGACCCTAGATTTGTAGGGGTTATGATTGTAGTGTTTGAGAAAGCATCCATGCAGGAGTCTGTTCCACAGAGGAGCGGTTCTTAGGAAGAAGCTGTCTTAGTGAAACTTACTCCTTGCCAATGGAATACGGAGTGAATGAGGGTGATTCAACCAGAGCCGGTGCAAGGACCTCGTCCCCCCCCACCTTGCTGAAAATTTGATACAGCCCTCCCCCGAATCTATGGTACGAGGCCCCCACTCTCTTATATCTCAATTTTCATAAGGTAGTATTCATATAAAAAACAAGTTTTATTGTATCCTAATTATGTACAATAATAGATCATATGCAATATAAATGAACAATTCAACTAGAAAAATTGAAAATGAATAGAGTGCATCTAGATACAAATTAGAGACATGTCATAATAGACCATTCCATCTTAAATAAATTTTTAGCATCAACTTGAGATTTTTCTTGTTAAAAACTTCCATAATTTTAAAACATTCAACATTATGGATAAAGAAATAGTGAATTTTATATAGAGTTTTTTTTAAGACTTAGCATGAGCAAAACAAATTCATGGATTTGAACAAAAAAAAGACCCCAGAATGATGTCAAAATCTGCGATAAAATTTTATCCTTTAATAGTCAGTTGTGCTTAATTTAATTTGTAACGTATATACATGTAGGTAGAAAAAAAAAGCAAATGTTGATAAGACTAAGAGTCACAAAGCACTGCCCGGAGCCCCCAATCGGGCTTGGTTCGGGGATAGTACGCGCCAGCCCTCGACTCAACCCTGTATACATAGCAAGTCGGGTCTTGGTTGGAAATGTTTGAGTTGGTGACACTAAAGAACGGAGCCCGTCAGAAGATTTGCACTGGAAGCGGGGATAGAGTAGCGACAGTTTTGCGATTTTTTTTTTTTTTTTTTGTAGGGTGTAAAATAATTCATTCTCCATAAGTCCATGTAAACGCTTCTGAACATGGCTAGAAAGTGAGGATTGGGCAGCTCCAGCCTCATATAAGCAGCAATACTCCATTTTTTGGTTTGACCTGATTTTTGTTAAAGTAAAGCAGAGGAACAAAGGACAGGAAGTTGTATAAAGTTACACGTACATATGTCCTGAAATAAAATGACACATAAAAGATGTTACCAATCGCTGACCTGGCCGTTTTTTAAATGTCCCGTCCAACACTCCTTCTTACTCGCGTCGTGCCGTCTCTTTTGAAGTTTTTGTACCTTACATCACTCAGCCATTTTATTTTATTTTTAATTCTACATTTTTCTTTACGCAAGTGAAAATATGGCGGCAAACACCTGGTCGTGAAGCAGTAGTTAGTACACATCACTACGACTAAATGCTTTATATTTGTGATCTTTTGCCAAAGTGAGTAAATAAAACAAATACTGACAAGGTCCATTGGCTGTGGTTGACGTTGTTTGTTATTGTTTTATTCCTGAATGCAATGCGTAGCCAGTGGCGGCAAGAGATGGGGACAGCCGGCACAAATGTGGCGGGTCTCGAAACCTGAGGGGCTTCAAGAAAATACCTTTAGGGATGTTTTTTTTTGGGGGGTCTTCTTTACAAAAAAAAAAAAGTGGAGAGCAAAATTACGAATCGGTATTTTATTGAAAAAAATACGAAGACTAAAACCAGTTCCAAAGCAGCTTAAAAGTACATTTTTCGAACTTTCATTGAAGCAAAATTCGCTATGAGTTCCTCAAAGTCTAATTCTCGTGCTAAATCACACTCGATCGCAAGGGTTGCCAAGTTAGACACATTCTTTGAAAAGTCTTGTAAGACATCCTAGATAGAGTTTGTTTGTCCCAGCAGCTCCTTTTCCTATCGGGGGACCTAGGTAATTCTCTTCCTGGTACTGTAGCCAAACTTGAACCTAGGGTCATATCATCTACAGCGCTATAGGGGAGGTGGGACTTCAGCCACTTCACTTTTTGCTGACTTGAAAACTAAACAGAAACTAACTCTGTCTTGACCATGATTTGACAATGCTATTGAGCTAAGCTGTATCATTTGTCTAAAATCATTCCTTCCATTAATCTTCAAAGTAAAGAATAAAACTTAATCTTTTTTTCTTTTTCTTAATCTTTTCAACGCAAACAAGGCAATAAAGATACTAAGACGCAATGGGTTACTGAGTGTGAAGGAATATGAGAAAAAGGAAAACTAAGGAAAATTATTAAGTAGAGAGAACAATAAAAAAGAATTAAAAAGACAGGTTTCATTTGGTTGTTTTGTTGTATGGTATATCAACCTCAGTGGGCCATTTAATGCCAACAATTTTTTTGAAATAGATTCATAGCGATAGTTTGGTAAAAAAAGGTGTATATGTATACATATATATTTGAACCATTTTTCAATTACTCATATTTTTGAGCACAATCCAACTTCTTTTAGGAAATTTACAATCCTGGATGGTTTTATTTTCGTAAAAAGTTTTTTTGTTTAAATTACTCACTTGATTTGGTATGGTTTGGTTTGTTTTGCTTTACGGCATATCAACCTCAATGGGTTATTTAATGCCTACAATTATTTTTTTCCTGGTAATATTTTGTTTTGTCAAAAATCTATTGCTGGTAATATTGTTTTTCAAAAACTTGTTGTTGGTAATATTTTTTTTTCAAAAACGTATTGCTGGTAATTTTTTTTTTTCAAAAAAATATTGCTGGTAATAATTTTTTTACAAAGTTTTAAGTATTGCTGATAATAAGTTTTTCCTTCAAAAATTATTGCTGGTAATAATTTTTTTATTACAAAGTATTTCTGGTATTAAAACCTATTTTTACACAAGTTTAAGTGTTTACTATTTGCCCATAGCTGGGACCCTAACAGATGCTACCACTCCGGGTCAGGGTGAACCTGGCAACACCAGCAATTAAGAGGTGGTTCCACGCTCCTCAAAACCCTCTGATCAGAGGCCTTGCTGTTGGATGTAGTTTATCGTCTTACCCAGGACGCAGATATAGTTTAATGGATGGTTAAAAAGACAGAAGATAACGATTAACATTGCATTTAATTTTTTTTTGAAGATCAGAGTTGATTGGAAA